AAAAAAAAAAAAAAAAGTAGGTCTCTGCAACTCTGGCATTTTTTCTCTGTCCTGGTCTTCCCTGATCATTTCCTGCCTGGGACCCACCTTGCTTCCATAACCTCTCACCACCATTCCAGAGCCATGGAATGCCTGCTCTTCAAAGTTAGGTACCAGTGAGCCCTGCCCAGGCTGACCCAATTAGCTCCTCATTAATCAGTACACACCCAAGTCCAGTGTCCGCATTCCCTCCTCTACAGCTCATCCCAGCTGAGTGTTTTGTTTCAGTGATTTTTCAGTCACTACCATCCATGCATACTCTGACTTCTACACTCTCCAAACAAACAAACAAACAAACAAAGAAACAAACAAAAAAGTGGCTCTGTTATCTGGGTATTAGAATAAGTGCACTTACTATAGAACTGCCCAAGCATAGGTCCTGAGTTTTTAACATTTGAGTATATGACTTAGATAAATAGACATAATTAAATACACTCATCAGATTTGCCAATGTCACAAAACTGTGTGACTAACATTTTGGGTAGGCAGATTTTAAACATGTGTGACTCATTAAGAGAAGTAAAACAAAAAGAAATGGATGGGATTCTATAGGAACAAATATAGAATAGTTCATTCAGAAAGAAAAACGTGCAGTAAAGTTAAATTGGGATAACTGAGAAGTGTACTATTGTATTCAAAGTGAGCATGGTAATTGGATACATGAAAGAGAGCAGAGCTTAAAATATATATAATACAATCTTTCATTCTTCACAGAGTCGATCATTTATTCGAATACTGTGTTCATCCCAACACCCTGAAGCAATAGTATTACATATGAAAAGCTTGGAGATGTGGGAAGAGAGGAAATATAATAATGAAAGCAATGGCTTTTGGCTGAATGGAGGTAAAAATAAAAGGCAATGGAAGCTTGAAGGAGACTAGACAGTCCTTTAGACTGTGGCACTGGATTAACAGGTGCCAAGTAGGATGAATAAAGAAGCCGACAGATGCTAGTATCTTGAAAAGTGTTGAGAGAGATTCACATTCTAGCATATTGCTACCAGATTTCAGTATTCCCTAACTCCATGGAAGCTTACAAATGTCTGTGTAAACAGTACAACACATTCCTCATTCACACTGTAGCCTTGCTAACCTATCAACCAAATGGTGCTGCATTGACTGAACTCTTCTTAGTGTACTCCACCTCTTTTCCTAAAAGGTCTTAGCTTCTCAGAGAAAGACAAGTTTCAAATGATTTCCCTCATTTGTGGAGTATAACAACAAAGTAAAACGAAGGAACAAAACAGCAACAGACTCACAGACTCCAAGAAGGGACTAGCGGTTACCAAAGGGGAGGGATGGAGGAGGGAGAAGGGGATTGAGGGGTATTATGATTAGTACACATGGTGTGAGGGGGTCATGGGGAAGATAGTGTAGCAGAGAAGAAAAGTAGCGACTCTGTGGCATCTTACTACTCTGATGGATAGTGACTGCAATAGGGTATGGGGGGAGACTCGATAATATGGGTGAATATAACAACCACGTTGTTTTTCATGTGAAATCTTCATAAGAGTGCATATCAACAAAACCTTAATAAAGAAAAATACAAAAAAAAAACGGTCTTAGCCCCTGTCTGAGGAACTTTCATTAAATTTAATGGCTGGCCAATATCACGATTTTAAAAGGACCAAAAGAAAAGGCTTCCAGAAAAATTCAGTTTCTTGGCAGAATAAAATCATAATCATTAAGATATCAGTACATGGGAATACTTTTTTTTTCCATTGTCTAATGTGAACAAGGGTTGAAAATCCTATTATATAAGTATTCATAAAGGATTTTTGTGGAGACTATCCAAAACACTTTGGGCCAATATGTTGGGGTAGAGAATGCATGAATGCATGTCAGGGCAAACTTAGGGAGAAGGAGTATTTTCAGGTAGAAGGACTGTGTTTGATTATTTAGCTCTACTGCTTAAGAAGCTGAGTAATTTTGGGGAAGACATTTCTACTCCTTAAAGTTCAGTAGCATTTTGTATTTAATATGACAAGTGGGGAGAACACAGCTGGTAAAAAGCAACAACTAGCTTTCCAGTGGACAGAATTACCAGTTTTGTAGCATTTTCCAATTCCTGGAAATACTCCCTTCATAGCCAATTTCAAGCTACCTATGTGGTGTCACAATGAGTCTAAGCCAGCTTAAGCACTCACTGGTAATGTGATGGTTAATTGGGAAATGCACATATAAGTACTTCATACAGTTTGACTATACAAATGTTACTTCTCAGCTTCTTACATAACATCTCCTTTTTTACGGTACTTGCCAATAGAAATGAGTATCTTTCTGTAGCACAAAAGAAACAAAATTCTTAGAGAAAACAAACTTTGTTACACATATTACAGATAGAGGAGTAGACATTTTAAAAGGATGGTCAACATAGTGCTTGGCTGTCAAAAAAATTAATCAGAACATCCCATTACACTTATTCTAATAATTTCAGACTATGCTGCATTGTTTATCACTACTTGGAAAGAATGAGGTAACTTATTTGAAGGTAAAACATTCAGTTAAAAGCTGTTCATATACCAGACTCTATCAAAAAAGTATTAGAACTAATAACTGGATTCAGCAAAGTTGAAGGATATAAAATTAATACACAGAAATCTGTTGCATTCCTATATACTAACAATGAACTAGCAGAAAGAGCAATCAGGAAAACAATTCCATTTACAATTGCATCACAAGGATAAAATACCTAGAAATAAGCCTAACCAAGGAGGTGAAAGACCTATACTCTGAAAACTGTAAGATACTCACAAGAGAACTTAAAGACACCAATAAGTGGAAATCTATCCCATGCTCATGGATAGGAAGTATTTATATTGTCTAAATGGCCATCCTGCCCAAAGCAATTTGCAGATTCAAATTCAATGCAATCCCTATCAAAATTCCAACAGCGTTTTTCAGTGAACCAGAACAAATAGTTCTAAAATTCCTATAGAACCACAGAAGACTCTGAATAGCCAAAGCAATCCTGAGAAGGAAGAACAAAGTTGGGGGGATTATGCTCCCTAACTTCAAGCTATACTACAAAGCCACAGTACTCAAAACAGTTTGATACTGGCACAAGAACAGACCCATAG